CACTCCTTTTGACTCCTGATTTCAATGCAAACAATCCTTATTTACAAAGTTTTTACTTATTTACAGTATGTACAGACCTATATTCAATTGATACCTATTTTCACACACAATACTAGGCTCACTCTTGTGACCTCGGACCTCGGAAGGTACCGAACCTTCATACAGGTTTTTCACACTTAATACTAGGCGATACAAAAGGAACAAGACTGCGCTTCTCCCTTCTGTACCCCCGAAAAAACCCTGAATTTTCGAAACTCTAGGTAGCGCAAAAATAGGTAGACGGCGCTACTGTTTTCTATACTCCCGAAAGACTCCGAAAAATTCAGAGAATTCTCGACCTACATACAGGTTTTATTTTTTACCTCTAGGATCACAAAGGCAGAAAATGAGAGGTCTTTGTATGGGACTAAGAAGCCGTCGTCACCGCGCTTCCCGTTTACCAACCCCTACTCCCTCACAGGGCTTCACCCTGGCTTTTTCAAAAAGACTTATTCCCGCCTTCGTGCCTCACAGAGACTGTCTCTGTCGCCGGCCCCACGGTCTTTCTATTTAAAATTTAACTGGGTCTAACCAGGCCGTCCGCCACGGACTTCTAATGTGCACTATTTACCATGGACCTTCATACAGGCTTTTAAGCTTTAAATAACCAATAACATACCATGGACCTTCATACAGGCTTTTAAGCTTCAGACAAACAATAACATACCATGGACCTTCATACAGGCTTTTAAGCTTCAGACAAACAATAACATACCATGGACCTTCATACAGGCTTTTAAGCTTCAGACAAACAATAAAATACTATTGTTCTATATTGCCATCTCGACTGATATTTAACAATCGGTATTTTCACTTTAAATCACTTTAAAATATTAACAGACTTACGGAGTAGACGCTGCTTGATTCTCACACCTAAAATCTCCTATATAACCTACAGAGTTTTGATAAAACAGGTCTCTGTTCTTACCTTTCGATATTTGGGCCCGTGTGAGAATCAGGCAGTCGTCCGTTCTCCGTCTGAAGTTTTGTCCTGTCCTCCTTTTCTCAAAATCACGTCGGGGTCACCAATTGTTGCGTTTTTTCAGATTTTGAGAAAGGAGAGGCTCAGTCCAATGAAAATTAACAAAAAGATTTAATTACAAAATTAGTGAATAAAGAGATGGCATTACAGAACAAACAAATAACACTGCAGTGGACTGGAAAGTTGTTCCTCTTTTCAGATTTACAGCTTACAGTCCTGATTCTCACAAAACTAATTGTTAATATCCTCCAGGTATATGGGCGGGTCTTTTCCTTCAAATGGCTCAGGACCAAAGCCATTGGTCATTTGGTTACTTCTTCGTCACCCAATTAGGAAGGGTGTACCTTACTGCTCTATAGTACTTTTGGTCGAACAAAAGAGCGCCAATTCCCAGACGTGAAACCCCCTTCAATCTACAGGAATAAACAGTCTTTTGCTCTAAACTAATCATGGAGAACAACAGGGCTTGTCTACAAAATGGTTGACACCCTGTCTTAAGTGTCAATGAAACAGTCGAAAAACTGTCCTTCTGGCACTAAACAAAGAGGTGTCAGTTTTCTTTACATTACAAAGAGGATACAAACAATGGTTTAATCAACATTCTAATGCAATTGTCTGGCCTAAAACCCAGCAGGTTTACATTTGAAGAAAGCACCGAAACACTGGAGTACATTAAGTTTGTTGTAACTTTTTAAAACTCAACAAGATGTAACCATATTGATTAGTTTATAAACTCTCTGTGAATCTAAAAACACTCTTCAGCCATCAGTGATGCTGCGTTGGTGTTTGGCAGGTGAGCTACGTAGGTGGGCTGATTAAACAGTGACAATCAGAGTCAGATAAACACACTGAGCCATGAAAGTTTTTGTTGGCGCAGCTATGCAGCTACCAGAATTACGATGTTTCTTCCGTTGCTTTACGTCATTAAATCATGGATATGCTGCGCGATTATGCGCAGTAGACGCTGGTGCCAACAGGAAGTAGCCCTGTACTAATATTTTATTGGTCATAAACTGGCTTCACTTTTCTCCATTCAAATCTTCTGGGTGGCTTCATCCAGTAATACAGTCTACTGTCTATGAGTTTCCCCGCTTGAAACACATTTCTGAGGGCCATCAGATCAAGATCAATGGCCATCAGTTTCATGCGGCTGGTTTTATTTGTGGTTTCGAAAGTATAGACCTACATCTTGTTTATTACAGCCATGTGTAACGTCAACTACTGACGTAACTACGATTGCCGTAGTCTTGTTAATTTGCTCCAACCAGATGATGGAAACGCACCTGTTTTGTTTTTTGTTGCCAAAAGTCCACTTCAAATTTGCTTGACAATTTGATGACTCATTTCCATTTTTAATCCCGCCTGGGAGGAAACTAGCATATCCAACATGATCAGTGTTTAGCAATCTTTTGTTTCCAGTTGTTTATGTACCGTGATTTTATGCACTGTAATTATAGTTGTTCATTTTATCAATTTATATCTACACTGTTATTATGTTTTGTGAGGTGACCTTGAGTGTTCTGAAAGGTGCCTATAAATACAATGTATTGTTATTATCATTACTATTATTATTATTATTATTATTATTAACTGGGGTGCAGAAAATGGCAGTAGGTTCTGGACTGATGAGTCAAAAATATTTATATTTGGCTGTAGCAGAAGGTAGGTTGTTCACAGAAGGGCTGGAGAGAAGCTCAAGAATGAGTATCTGCAGGCAACAGTGAAGCACAGTGGCGGTTCCTTGCATGTTTGAGGCTGCATTTCTGCAAATGGAGTTGGGGATTTGGTCAGAATATAGTAGTATAGGGAGATACTTATTCATCACGCAATACCGTCAGGGAGGCATCTGATTGTCCCCAAATTTATTCTGCAGCATGGCAATGACCCCAAACATACAGCAAAAGTCACTAAGAACTATTTTCAGTGGAAGTGATGGTATGGCCCCCACAGAGCCCTGATCTCAACATCATTAAGTCTGTTTGTGATTAAATCTGCCTAAATCCACAGAAGAACTGTGATATCTGGGCGAACTTACCTGTCAAGTTCCCACACTGAAGAAACTGATTATGACGGTTTGTAAATGTTACATGTTTTTATCTGGTTTATTTCATAGATTTTATTGTGTTATTTAATCCTACTTATTTTTTTAAAGTAATTTTCAAATGTACTGCCCTTGTTTAAAACAAGTTTATTTCATTCAATTAAAAGTGATTAGAAAAAAATATGTTTAATTTAATTTCCACATACTCTCCGGTCTGCGCATGTGCAGACACATGCCGCCACTGAAGGCGAGGGAATGAACGTTATACACTCTTATACAATCATTGGTGTGTTATATTTGTTACTTAAACAGGGTTCTGTTTACACTTTGAAACATAAAAAATGCGTTTAGCTAATGCTAAGTTTAAAAAAAAATTAAATTACATTAGCTAACCTTACAGCAACTAACTTAACGTGAGTTGTGTAATGTTAGTAAGTTAATTTAAGTGTAACTACGTGGTGAATTCAGTCTTTGTCTTGTTAGACTTATTTATTAGTTTGTGGACTATGAATAAAAACAAAACAGGTTTACCATTGTTAACGTTAATTGTCGCTTCACCTTCCTTGCTGTAAGTTACTGTAACTTAACGTTATTCCCGACTGGCTGTAAGCATGTTTTCTAATCTTGTCAATTTGTTAACATTAGGACAAAATACACCTGTGAAATCATGTTGGTAAAAGGTGGTTAATGTGCACTGACGGCAAGAGTTTATATTTTTAGATAATGGCAGTCCTAGGTAACCTTAGGTGCCTGAATTGCCGTTAAAGTTCATTCAAAACACAAAGTGAGCGGCAGACTGCAACAGCAATTTATCTTTAAGTTACTGTTTGCCAGGAGCGTTTAAAAGTAGCCTATGTATTTTTTTTTTCACACCCGTATTCCGCGAAGACCCGCCCCTATTCTGGCGCTGACTGGCTCCGACCGACCATGACATTTTTCAAAACCTGTCACTCCACTTGCGCCAACCTAACTAACCAACGAAGGCAACGAACACTAACCAATCAGAGGAAAAAAAACAAGCTTCTCTTCACCTCGCGTTAACAAAGCTTAAAACGTAGGCTAAAGGTGGGGCTGAAAGTTTACCCGCTGAAGTAGAAGCATGCAAATGCTTCATAACTAACTAGCAGGAGCTTTGCAGATGACAGAAGAGGACTAACGTTAGCAGAGCACGAGCACAGCCCAGTGAAAGACCACCTGAAGTGGCAGGCAGAAGATGACAGGGATGAGAATGTGGGTTTAGCTAGTAGGTTAATGCTGTTTAACTTTGTTTCTGCTCAAAGACACAAAGACTGATTATGTTGGCACTGCATCACTGTGGAATGTGAAAAATACAAATACTATATGGCATGAAGACATAATCACAAAACTAAGAGCTGGAAGCGGTCTTGACTAGTTGACTCAGTTATAATATCTCACAATGTACTTAGTTGTTGTAGTGGACTGCATTATGAAGAGATTTTTCTGTTTCTGATTTCACAAACAGTTAATAAAAAATCGGCATACAATATGATCTGACACAGTGTAAATAATGTTACACAATTATTTATTCTAAAATATTGTATAGGTGTTTATATTTGATGTATTGTTGTACACATAATGGTAGTTAATTTAAGAAACCAAATCTGTTTTGTACTTAACTCACACCATAAACACCATAAACGTCAATATACCTCTCTTGTTTCATAAAATGTGTTTTAAAAGCATTATTTTCTGATGTCATTTCTAAATGCTCTAAAGTAATTTATAAGAGGAATAACATACTTGCAAGAAAATAGTCCAGCTGTGAATAAACAAATAAGTTAATAAATAAGTAATCTTTCCTGAATATGAAGTCCATGTCTGTCTGTCCACTTCCACCCTCTTAATCTGCCATTTGTTGGATATTTTTATAGTTATTAGTTTGTACTGATCTGATTTGAGTCGTGGGCTTAACATGTTCTGTGCTGACGCAAGTATGTGATTATTTGGACTTTTTTCCTCAACATGCTTACGATTTATCATTTTAATTCATGCTCATTTTTATTTCAGGTTTTTCTCACATCTGATTGTCTTGGTGTGATGTGGACCAGAATCTAATTCTTTGGGGAGCTCGTATTGTTTTGGTGCATTTAACAACCTCTTAACAGCTATACTGATCACAGCAGTGCTGCTAAGGAAAAATAGAAAAATGTTCTGTAACTGTGGTGTACATTTTTTGTCTTTATTTATGGGGGGGATCTCAACGCTGGTACTTTATCATATAATTCATAGAGAAGTGCTGCTATAAAAGTACCAGTACACACAGACATTTTCTTCATGTGTAGCTTCCTGCTAGGCGTGCTTCTGTGTATTTGTTCTTTCTATAACAGTAATGACGTTAAACGAGCTTGGGCATGGTACAGATCGCCTAGTGTGAGTACACCCATAATCTGTTGAGTAAAGCTTCTGTTTGCTTAATATGAGATTCCATGGCCCAAACTTTAAGTCACATTAAACTATACATTTAGTTGTCTTTACAGAGCATAGCTTTATGTCATCAAAGTTGATACGGGTCACCATGGCCCTGATGTGACTGTTACAACATTATCACTAATGTTTGATTTTTGTCCCCTTTTCTCTTTGTGGTTTGTCTAGTTTATGTGTCCTTCACACCCTGCTGGCAAAACAGATGAAAGCTTAGAAAATGTCAGACTTGAACTGTTGAATGATGTCAGACAAAGAAACTGCACCGTGTGTAAAAAAGATGTCACAAACGTTCTCCTACAGAAGAAAAGAGGTAGTGCAGGAAAATCCAGCTGCCGGAGAGTTTAAAGCCAGGTGGCCTGCACTTTTTCATATTTATGAGGTAAGCACATGCTTGCTCCCTGAAATTGGGGTTTTTACATTGCACTTTGACCCATTGTAAATTAAAAAAAATATTAGCAAGGTTTAAATAAGGATGCAGGCTGCTGGTCCAGTTTAAATTTCTTGCCATTACCCTTGATTGATAGCAATATGTTTGGCTAGAACACACAATACTCATGCTATCAGAGACAGTCTTAATAATGAGGTCAAAATTAGAATATCTTTTAATGATACAGTAGCTACAAAATACCATTACACCGATGGCTGATGACAGTGCTTTTGTCTTATTTTGTTGTTTTTGTGTGTATGTGTAATAGATAAATGCTGAATTCCAGCGCATAACAACAATCCCACTTGAAACAACCTTCATGGCTCAGTTGGACAGCCATTTACCCCAGCTGACATCTATTTTCAAGAAGAAGGCAGGTGTTTCTGGCCAGAACCTAGCCAAACATCTGGCTGTTTTGCAAGAGGTAAATATATTTTTACATTGTAGTAGAAAATATCATATGCACTTAAATGTACTTGAAATGTACCTGTCTAGTACAACATGGAACCTTTGAAGACTTCAAATCCAGCCTTGATTATTTGTAAGGAGCAAGGTTCCTAAGGCTACATCCACACTAAAATATTTTTGTTTTAAAATGGAGACCTTTTGCTACATTTGCACCTTTCCAGACTGAACTGCTACGAACACCTAAAACGGAGAAGGTTTAAAACGCTGCCGACCCTTTTTCATTTTAAACTCCATGGTAGTGTTTTATAGATTTCTAAGGAGATCTGATGATGCCTTTATGAGGCAATAGTGGCATACAGGTTAGAGAAGCAGGGTTGTGACTGGAAATGTTCCAGTTTAATCCCTAGGTGGGGAAAATCCTCAGTAGCCTGCAGATCTGACTAGTTTTTCTAGGAGCTTCTAGGTGTAAACAGTGAGGATAATAAGTAGAAGTTACAATAGTGCTATCGCCCTACACATTCAGACCTGATATTTTATGAAAATTAAGTCACAATACACTAACATTCTTTAGCTAAAGATGGCATTTCATTTACAGAATGTATAATGAAGTCATTGTGTATATATGTTATATTTTTATTAAATTTTAATAGTTAATCTATTTACACAGGCTACAAGTGACATGCGTATATGTCATCAGCAAGGAAGGTGGAGAAATTGGACCTTATGATGACATTGGCATTTATGTTGAAGGAGAAGTCATTCTGGAAAACATTGGATCTGTAGTCCAAGCATGTGCAATGATGCTGGGAGTCATCTATGTACTGAACATGGCTTACCCCAAAGAGCTGAAATACTTCTATGAATTCATTCAAAAAGTGCTCTTGCAAATGGATGGAGAAAGGCTTTCCCCCAAAGTCCTTGGACTAAAGAACAAAATCATTGCTGAACTATAGCATTTCTTCAGCTGCTCTTGTGAATGCCGATAAGCTGCATTTTTACATCTGGTTTGGGAGGAGTTAAGCACTTTGAGATAAACAGTTGGTGACGTCTGCGCTATTAAACCATTGCATAAGAAGAGGACACAATGAGATGACGTCATTAAAATAGAAAACATGGAATTATGACATTTCTTGTTAGTTTCATGTAAGAATGTTACAGCCTCCTCATTGCTCTACACAGATGTGATGTGTTCATTTACCACTATTTTTATAATTCTCAGAGGAGCTTAAGCTTCAGTGGACATTTAAGTCACATGTTTCATGTATATCATGATTTATTCAGTAAGTCTGTTTCCATATTGATACACCAACTTTTTTTACCTCAGCCAAGCATAAAATCTATTTTGTGTATATTATTATATTTCTTCAATTACAGTATTTTTTGAATGTAACTGTTAACAGTTTTTTGTAATCTCAGCAGCAGGTCCTCAGTGTTGCCGCTGTGGACGGGTCTGGTTCTATAGTATTTTTGTTCTGTATAGTACTGGTGTATTTTGTTATTTGTATATGTTGTGCTCTTGCAAATGGGTGGTAAAAGGCTTTCCTTCAAAGTCCTTTGACTAAAGAACAAAATCAATGCTGGACTGTAGGTTTTCTTCAGCTGCTATTGTGAACCCTTTTAAGCTGCATTGTCATTGTGTGTTTAGGGTGGTGTTTAGTGATAAAGCAAATTTAATATGATGTGAAATGCAGCTGTAGAAGGTATGAAAAGTGAGTGGTGGTCTGTAGTAATGTGTGCGGATATATGTATACAGCTACTGTTGTGAACATTTAAAGCTGTAGTTGGGATGTTTTGGAATATTTACTCGAAATGAATACTGCAATCCTAGAAATAGGTGCTTGTTTTGTGAAAAATGGGTATTGACTCAATGTGTTTGCAGTTTAATGTAATCTCACACAGGGTCCTCACTGCTGTCTTTAAGCTATTCTGGTTCATTTGTTTTGTTTTTGTAACGAATGGTACAATGTATTTTATATTAATGGAAGATACTAAGGCATTTTGTTATAAGAAAGCAATTTGAGGAATGGTGACTACTGAGTTACATTACTGGGAGTCTTGTTTGAGAGAGCAAAAATGGTGTTCTATCTCTTGGACCAGGAAAATAAAGAGTTGAAAATATTTGGTTTGCTTCATTTATCTGAATATTAATGAAAGTTAAGAAACTATTGGATTAAACTTCATTTTAGTATGTAGAAAGAAAACCATTAAATTGATCTGGATGCACATAATTCATTTTAGTGTACTGAACATAGAAAAATTTAGTAAATTCTACTCAAAATAGTTTAGCTAAAATTATAAATATAATTGATCTGAAATTACTGAAAGAGATTAATACACTCAACTTATAAAATAGAAGTACAACCAATTTACAAAATATACGTACACTCAACTTAAAAAATATATCTGGAAGGATATATATTAGATAAATTTATTTTGTGCAACCACATCACATAGTAAAATTAAGTAAAGTCAACATAATGTTTTTTTCAGTGCATAAAAACTTGCAAGTGTACTTAGAAGAATTGATACAGTTTTGAAGGTAAATAGTGTCACAACAAATTTTTTTCACAGATTTTTTCCTCTTCACTCTTTTTGCATTTTGATAAATAATATATTTTGAAATCATTCTTACCATTTTCCCACATCTACCTAAAACCTTTGCGCAGTATTTGCTAACTAAATACTCCTTAGCGTCAATCACATGTTGACACTATATATAGTAGTCCAATTTGCTCTGTATCGTCTTGCAGCCTTTAACAGAGAAAACTCTGTCCGATTTCGGGAAATATACTAAATCTCTGGCCACCTGCTCTGCCACATTTTCGTCTGGCCGAAGTCCTCTCGCTTTCATCTCGTCCATGACACACTGGATGGTGTGCCGTTTCTCCAGAGGCAGAAACGGGACGAAGAAGTCCACCAGGTTCTTGTCTATTAAATGTGAATTCCACAAGCCACCTACAGGAGGAGATTGAGAGATCCTTCAGTAAAAAATGTAATAAAATAAAAAAAACTAGTTTTTTTGATGACCAAGACTAAAAGATGTAGGCTACTCACCATTGTAGTTAAATGCTGATACAGAGATAGATGTTTCCAGGTCTTTCAGCTCAATCTCTTCTCGATCTCGTCCTGCATTCCAGAAGTCTAAAGCTGTCTGTGTGATGGTCTCCCCTCCAGCATTGCTGAGAGGAAGATCAGCTTTGTTAAACATCTTAACATCTAAAGTGCCTAAAACCTGTGCAGGGTACTGTAACCTCTCAAAAGTAACAGTGACCAGCAACATACAATGTCAATATGTACATTATTCTGTAAATTATTAGTAGATACAAAAAGTCAGACATCAATTTTGATGGTCTAATTGGAAGGAACTGCTCAAAAATCTTTATTATATTATAAGGCTTCCAAAGATAAAAACATCTTCATCCTATCTGACAGCATTTCTGCTTGTAAAACTGTACACATACAGCTCTCTCCTAGTGCTCCTGCCTGTGTCCATAAAGGTTTGAATTTTTTATTTTTTTTCCCAAAACTATTGTCTCTTTTGTGTTTTTCATTTTTCTTCTCCAGAATTCCCCTTTCTGTGCTTTAAAAAACAATTCAGATTGGCCATACTTTAACAAATGTGTTCATCCTTTTACCTGAGGAAGATGAAGATGGCTTTACGATAAGAAACTCCATCCAGATTGTTGTGGTACTCCAGGAACGGCTTTATGCTGTCAATCAATCCCGGATGCATCTCGTCCATCTCATCAAAGATGAATATGGAGCGTGCACAGTTGTTGACACTGTGTTTGATTCGCTGCTGTAACTGAGACTGAGGACAAACATCAGTATATTTAATTCACATAGGAGGCAAAACAGAACAAAGTCACTGTGTTTGAATTGTGTCTACTTTTTATCATACCTTGTAGGTCTCAATTTCACTTTTATGTGGGAAGTGAAAATCGGATGTGAAAATATGAACAAAGCTGCTGTCCATTCCCTTCTTGTAAATGTTTTTAACAATCAGCTTGCTGACAAAGTTCTTGCCTGTACCGGTTGATCCCTGCAGAGACAGCACCAGAGGCTTCTGTGGGTTGTTGTTTCTCATGAATCCATTCACAGCTTTCAGGATGATGCGTGAGGCAATGTGCTGTCCAAACAGTTTGCTTTCAAGGTCAGCCTGGAGACCTGGAGAGTGCAGAACAGAAAGTCAACAGGACTACTGAAACACCTCTCTCAGCGTCGCCATCAGGAAATTCTTTAGCTGAGGTAGCCACCAAAATCTCGCCTCATCTGGCATCATGATCCATTTTGTTATTAGATGACAGCTTAAAAAAAGCCACAGTCATTAAATAGCTATATCAAATCAACCTTAATTTCTATAGCGAAAGTGTTATCAAAGTGCTTTACAGGTAACTGACATTAGCTGATAATAAGACCAGAAAAGTAGCTGCCTCCTCTGCCAGCTGCCTGCTCTCATTGGCTGGATGTGGATATGGAGTCGTCCTACTCTTCCAGATATTTGGCATGCTAGATATCTGGCTGGTGTCGGCGATGTGTCAGAAATGTGTCGGGGAACCGTTTTGATGAGTCATTGAGTAGTTCACACATCTCTCTGCTCACCTTGCTTTTCCCTTCAGACACACATGCACACACCTGTCTCTCTCTCTCCCTCACTTTTATAACGACAACTCGCGGTGTGGAGGAGGCTTGTTGTTAATTACCAATCAAGACCACCATGGGACTGACATCGGCACATACAGCTGTGTTTACTGTTTTATTACCTGGTCTGTGCTTTAAAATATTCACAGAGTCCGCGTTTCCTAAACTAATACAGCATAGTGTCTCTTTCTGTGTGTTTTAGCGTGTTTGTGTGGCTGTGACAATAGTCAGTTACTGTCTGTGCCATTGTGCAGACACTCATCACTATGTTGAATACGTACGTTAGAAAAAGAAGAAGTAGTAATAATATACTGTGCAAATAAGTTTTGCATCGGAGCAATATTTTCAACCATGGTGGATGAGAATATAAGCCATAATATTGAGTTGCATCAACAAGTTGTTCCATTTGCACAGTTGGGTGCAGGACTCCCAACCCAAGGGCTGAGTGTTTGATCCCACCTCAAGACAACCTTTTTTTTCTCTATTCAACAAACAGATTCTGCAGCGAATGTTTTTCAGATGTGCTGCACTTTTTTTGTTTCAGTATTTGATCCACATCCATCACCCTAAGAATGCTTTTGCAATTCCCCAATATCTCCAGGCAGAGAAAATTTAGTTGAATCACGTTTTCTGACGGCTCTTTCAGAGGTGTGTCAAGCAGGCTACAGACTCTTTTAATGTCATTCAGAATTTTTAAAGTAAAAGCTCAGTTCAACTCCAAAGACTGCATTACATTAAACAAGCTTTTTGCACTTTTATTTTGTAGGCAAACCCACTAAAGAGGAAGTGAGTATGTGAGTAACTGTTGCTGTCATGACTGAGATCTATTTCAGCACAGCTATCAAAGAATTTATTTATTTATATTATTTGCCGCTATTAAAGCACCATAATCTGACCGCAGGCCAGATATTATTGTTGCTGGGCAGTTTGGCGATGATCCATAATCACCGAGAGAATTAATGTTTCCCTTGTCAATGTTTGTATATACTTTATCTATTATCTGGTTTATAATGGACTGGGGTGCAGAAACAGTGACAGTGTTTCACACTCTTGGCTTACTTTTTCCATGTTATCTGTCAGTGGCCAAGTCACAACAACATATGGTTTTACTGAATACTTAAGTAAATATAATTTCTTAATATATCTACAGAAACCTAATTTCTTGACAGGCTACTCAGCCACCGGAGCTGTCCTACGCCCTTTGAAAGGTTAGGGGGCAGAGGTAAACTGGACAGTTGGTTGCAATTCACAACCCTCACCACTAGATGCCACTAAAGCTTACACACTGAACCTGTAAATGTGACCAGCAGAAAATTGGATATTTGAAGCTGCTCGCCCCGGTCACCAGTCATGGCTGATTAAGCTAAAAACCGGCCTATTCCAATCCTGAGCGAAACAAGCATTGTGAAGTTGTCATTTTGGACAGTATTTCTCACTATTTTCAGAATTTTTAAAATGGATTAATCCATAACGAAAATAATCATTATTTGCTGTCTGACACAAAATAGTTCAACCTCAACCAAATACATTAATGCATGAGTAATAATAATCTACTGATTTAATATAGGCCTATAAAAGTTTAACAGGGGACATTTTTCTTTCTGCTTTGAGTACTTTTACTAAGTATATTTTCCTGATTGTACTTATATATTTATGTTAGGCTATATTCTTTAACTTAAGTAAAGGATCTGGATACTTCATCCACTATTGCTAATGTTAGGCTACTGTTTGTACAAAAGGCTGTTTATGTTTTTGTGTGAGAATGCCTCAACTTTTTATATTGGCAATAAATAATTACTATTTCACAGAGCACTGGTATCCAGCAATTTGTGTTAAAATGTATTGGGATGATTACTCCAAACCAGTCTATGCTCGAAACTGACATTATATGGCCAGAGACGTTTTAAGAGGCAATAAGGAACTTGATAAGGCATAGCCCGGCCTAGAAAATATTTCACCAGCCGCCATAGTGCTGTATTCATAGCTGCTCACCTGTTGCATTGAAGACTATCCAATTCGGATCGCATCTTTCACAAGTTGTTAAATAATTCCAGAGAGCCGCACCGACACCTACAGCCACTGTTACTGTGAATAGGTCTAATGTGTTTACCAGCACACAGACTGTCGAAAAAATATGTAAAAACAAATATAAGCGTGTCACTTTCATTGCCGAAACCACTTAATTCCTAACCTAAGTCGTCTTACAGTTTACTCTGACGATGTTACGAGAGAGATGAATCCAAGGGTGCCGCTTCTATGCTTTAATTGCACCACTTTTCTCTCTTGCAGGTTTAACGCGAGACAGACTGCCAGCACGCATCTGGACCATCTGTACTCAGCTACCAATGAACTGCCAGTGGGGGACGAAACAGCTTGTTGGGCGGAGCTGCTTTCTAGGTATCTCCAACTAGAAAAACACCTGTCAACGGACAGTTTTCTACATAGAGCCAGGTCCGAAATATTTTCAAATTAGAGCTTAACAGTAGGCCTAGCCTACACTAAAATATATTTCTGTAAACATCTAAGGCAAGAAATAGGCAATCCAGTAACATAAAGCATATTTTTACAGTTTGCTCTGAGTTTCATGTGCCTGCTGCCTTGCGTTGGACAACCTCATTGTAGCCACTCCTGTTTATGCAAGTTTTGATAAGGTGAATGTTTAGTCAACTCATTCTGGCGTATCCCTCATACAGCCGGATCTCCTGCTCTCTATAGAAACTTGACTCCCTTTAACAGATCCAGTGTCTCTCCAACCACCGGCTGGTTGGAGAGACACAAGGAAACCATGCAAGGAGAGAAGGAACTAGGAAACATTTTTCTAAGCGTCACCTGAAGCAACGCCTGAACTGACAATGCAGATCACACCTGGATCAGCTGTCAGTCTTTTGGCAGCTGGAGTGACTTTTAATTGGAGTTTGTGTCTGCATACATATGCACTCTGTGCTGATACTAATAAAGGCTCACGCTTATCACTGAGCTCCATATTTCTGTTTAACAGGTTACAGCTACAGAGAGACACCTGCACATGAAGGCCAACCTGCATTCTGTATACTGTTTCCTACTCAGAGGCACAGGATCATTTCGACTGGCACAATGCTTATTATTTATTCAATATCTGCATCTGTATTTATAGATATTCCGATTTTTTATTCTGAATTTATTATAGAATAATTTAGAAGATCATGGTGTCTTTTAAACATTATGATTTATCAGGTTAAATGTAATTTAAAGGTTAAATTGAACTTACATCAAAACCGACGCTCAGCTTTAGGTTTTCTGTTTATTTCATTATCAGATACTGTTTAACACTACTCCATACAATTTATTTGCAAGTCACATCACTCCTCACCGATCGATCGCTGAGTTCCATTATATCAGTCCAATACGTTTGTAGCGCAGTAGCTTTTTCATACATTTCATGAGCTGATTTTACTCATGAAGCAGCCAGCTGCTGTCATTAGATGTAGTAGGAGAGATCGGATGTGCAGGCTTTCTCCATCTGCAAGAATCCACCCATAGTTGTCATTTACACTGGGGACGCTGGGGACATGTCCCCTCTGAAATGGCTGATTTTGTCCCCTCGTGATAAACAGAAGGGAATAACTTTTGAAAGGGGACAGTGGTGTACTAGCTATTCATCCTGCTGTTAGACGTTGTCACAGCTTCCTCCAGACGCACGGGAAGACATTTTCGCTTAGGGGTGCTCCAGAGTAGAAATGCGCGCATACAAAAGTAACACAATTACAGTAGCCTAATGTATCGCTTTTTGCTGTAATGCATGCAGTTATACAACACATTACTAAAAAGAAATCGGTAATAGTTTAGAGGTGGAGATAATTCTGAGAAAGTAATTAGTTGGGTTGGGGCCGTAGGATTATTTGTGCCTACATGATTATTAAGATATTGTCAGAGTTGAGCCGCGCATCACACCAATGTAGCTCCTATATAATCATGACAAAACCTGCTGACGTCAAATTATTAGGCTGTAACAGCAAGAGCATCCTCTGCATTCAGCACTAACCTGCTGGATTTTATGTTGTCATATAGTAAAAATAGTGCCCATTATGTAGTCTGCCTACCTGTGTGTACTCGTGCGGTCATTACACATGAAAATGTGTTTTGGTAGTGTTGTAAAAATGTGTTTTGGAGTGGCCTTGGAGGGAGGCCTGAAGGGAAGGGTTGGTGTGTTTTTGTTGGATACTTTAAAAATGTTGCTGCCTCTTGCTAGGACTCCAACATTGCCTACCCAGTCCATTTTTAGTGTTTTTTGATGTTCACACTAAAAAAAAGGTTTTGTTGGTGTTTAAACAAATAACAGATGTACATGTTTTTTCCTTGTTGTTGTTGGTGTTTTTGAACTACAATTGAATTACAGATTATCAAGTGATACCCAGCCCCTCATATCCTGACCTGTTGCAAGGAAATCCATTTCGAATTTATAAAACAAATAGCAACCAATCATTTATTATTTTTAGTGACTCCGTAAGTACTACACCTCCTTTTACACACAAACCTTGGATCAATATCCATCTCAGTAGCATGCAAGCTTTAGGAAAACAGTAGTGTCAGTAAGCAAAATTAGAAATGTTGTATGCACACAATTTGGAAATAATTAAACGATTAAATGTGTGCCAGGACTAAAACAAAAGATGATTAGAAAAGTTAAACAAATAGAGTTTTATTGTATTTTATAAACTGATTAGTGGTGATGGGGGGAAAGAAGCATTTTGGGTTGTAGGAGTGTAGCACCCGCATTTATATCTCACTCCTCAAGCTTCCATCAAATTAAGCAACATCCTGAAAGCCATGCATGCTTCTGGATCAGTTTTGGAGGAGGAATGCACCTATGGAGCCAAAGATGAGTTACACTGACTGGTTTGAGTAAGGTTGAGTTTGTGATTTTGTTGAGTATTTATTGAGTAGTATATTGAGAGTATTGGGTAGGGTAAGTAGACATACAGTATGCAGAAAAGTAGTGCATACATGTCAGACTCTTTACAGAGGTACAGCCCACTGATCCAGAGGTTTTAAATCCTTTAGGAGCAAAGGGGAACGCTGTCTTTAGCTTTGACATTTCTTATTCGGTTCTGGCCAAATACTACTCTTGCCCTATATTTGGGGAGTTTTACTTCATAGAGAACTTGGGCTAGGAACTGCTGCTGTGGCATTTGAAGCCCATTGAGACAATGTCTGTGATATTTGGGTCATGAATAATGTAACCTGACATGACTTATTTGTATTTGAAATGGCAGACTCACACGTTTCCGTTATTTTAACAATATGAGGTAATGCCCTCTTTTTGCTTTGTGTCATAAGGTCCTCCTCTCTGGGAACCCTTTTGCTTTATGTTTATGTTTTTAGTCTCTGGATCAGGCTTGCCTATTATAAGAGAGCGTAGTTCATAGATACCAAATGTTTCCTCCAGTACACTGTAAATTCTGACAAGTTAACTTTACTTAAAAATAGGTAGGAAACCGATTACCTATGGAAAAGTAAGTACAGGAACTGAACTGTGTCACGTTGTGTATAATGAGTATGTGTTTAAAATTAGCTTTAATTGAGTAAGCTGTACTTGATATTAAAGATGGGAGCAATTAGTTAATCTCAGTATAGTCAAATTCAATTAAGTTGTTAAACTCTAAAGCTATAAGTAGCATTAACTTGATATATTCTGCCAAAACCAGTGAGCATTACTTGAAAGTTGAAATACTCAACACTTATTTTATATTAGTGATTTGAACCTTCATAAAGTTGACAGAACTCAATAAGAACAAGTAACGTAAACAAGTAAGTAAAATGCACACATAATATACCTTAGTGTTGCTAACTTTGAAATAAAAACTTACAAACCAGTGGTTCCGAAAAACCTAATTTATTTTTACATGAATATTTGTACACATGCACTGACAATTCTCTTCATATAATAAGAATATTGACAATACACCACTGAGAGTAAACGTTGTGGCTGAAATATATGAATGTAAATGAATATTTAAAAATTAACAATATAATAAACATAAACAAGTGCTATTCCACTGCAACATTGGCAATGTTTCCTTAAATCTCATTTTTTAGCACCACAATATCTATTTTGAAGTTTGATAACTATTCACTTCATCAACAAAAACCCCCAAGGTCATTTATGTTCACCAATATTAAGATTTATTGAACAGCCCAAGTCCAGACCCTTCTGTTAGCAGTGAACCAGGCCAATCAGTGAGTTGATGGGAGAAAACTGAAGGATTAAGATTCCTAACTGCACTGGATTTGAAAACGTCAGGCTGATCATTCCTTGTATTTTTCAGATTTATTGGTTCAGCAAGTCATGCCCTTGTCTAAACCCTCCTATTTGCCCTTGATATTCTTTGTTTGTCAGAAAGATGAAGTATAAGCTATGAGTATTTCCTGTGTTTTTAAACTAATTTAAATGTAGGACATCTCTGCACGCAGTTTAGCCAAATGAACCACCTAAAAAAGCCAAAGTCATTAAAACTACTTTTTCATAATCAACATCATTATACCACCATTGTGTGTCCATACCGGATACCAGTCCACTTGATTATGTGTTACATGTTCATGTTTGGTAAACACTAATAGGCATGTAAGTTTACCACATCTCAGTGTTCTGCATTTCTCAGCAAAGAGAAGCAACCTGACTGAAAAATTAACAGAGAAGAAACCAAAAAAATCTTCTTATAATTAAAATTCTGCTTTTCATGTTTGTGTGTGACAAAGAGTAAGTATAAATGTGAAACGTATGTGAGTGCATGATACTATGTTTGATAGCTGATTGGTCTGGTTATAAGCCAACAGAAAGCTCTGGATTCTCAGTGGTCATGTTCCTAAATAACACCGTAAAGCAAAAGACATGATAACATTTAGCCAGCTTTTTAAATTAAATCACTTTGACTCAACCAAACCATGTCCCAAAGGGAACACTAAATACACAGTTGTGTATATTGTATGATCATTTTCTTTATATACTTTAATAATTAGTGCGACAAAAATTCAGAATACTAATCCATGTTATTGTTAACACATGCACCGACGGTGACCTAAATCAAGCCTATGCTACCTTCCAAATAGTCATATGCTTTCATTTGACCTTCAAATACAAAAACAGCTAATGAACAAATAACAGTAACAGTGTGCAGTAAATACACAATCAAAACAATACTGACCCACTCGAGTATGAAATGCTTATGATCTTCACAGAGAGCTAATCTTACATACATTTAACACCCTCTAAAACACTTACTCATATTAAGGCTGAACCAAAAATACATTATAAATGAAATTCATCAAAAAAATTAAACTAAAAACAAAAATCAGACTGTTATTTTTACAGTTACTGCAGTGATTTTCAATCTCACTGAATTGTGTACAAACCAAAAGTGTTGTCATTTCTGGAGACTTGGACATCTCTAAAGCACCACAACATGTTTAGAATAGTGTTTTGTCAGTTTACCTTCATTATTACATAGAAAAATAAAGGAAATAATATATAATATTGAAATATAAGTTATTCAACTGGTTTCAACACAACCGCTCAAAAGAGCATATTTTTAGTGTTTACAGTTTTGGGCTGAGCTTCAGATGTCTGAGGTTCAACAATATCTTCTGGATAAATTCACATGTGTACTACATACTTTTCAGTTAATCCTGGTGGAGTGCATAGATTATGCCAAATAGAAGGCAATGTGCTTGATGCTGTGTGGAAATGTCATCCATGAGATGTTTACTTCAAGGATGACTGCAATGGTGTTTCGCTCTTGTGGTCAATCCTCAGGCACATGGCTGAAGTCAGCTGCTATATCAGAACCCTGCAAAAATTAAAAAACAAGGGAAAAGATTAAGGTAGGATTTATGACCCACAATAACACCAGGGACACACCCATACCTTCAACTGTGAGTGACGGCTAACTTGCGTGCTAACTTCTGTGACTCACCTTTGGGTGTGTCCACGCAGAGAGTGGCAGCCACCAGCCCTATATTTTTACAATGGGTATCGTGAACCTAGGAAACTTGTAAAAGTACCTATCCAAAGCCAGTGTTTGGTTTGACTTTTCTGTGCTAGACTGTTCTGATTTCTGTTAGCCTGAGGAATTATGCTGTTCTTTTCGAAAACTGAGAGCAAAAGCTGAGGCCTGATGATATCATATGTACACCGTATGATGGATATAATGTGATCATTATGAATGACTGTACTTACTGAGCAACTGAGGAAGAACTCACTGGAATCATCTCCAGGATACAGGGGCACGACAGCAGTGCGTGTTGTGGTAATGTCTTGGGTCTAATGGAAAAGATGTGAAAAGACAATAAGCAAGTTTGGAAACACTTTCCCATTCACTTAATAAAATGTATACTAATGTACAGTAGGGCTTGAGTCAAGTGAGTACACTAATAAGGGGGTAATGATGAAGAATGTTAAACATCACTTCTACGATTGGCTGGAGGAGGAGATCAAGTGACTGGCCTACAACTCCTTTTTAGATTTGAAGATGTTAATGAGATGAGTAGTGTGTTGGTCCAGCGCTTCATAGAAGGTTCTTGCTGTTACACATTAACAGTCAGAGGCTTCTATGTTCCACTGTGTTAATGTTGGGAATTGGAGCTTATCGGTGTTGAACAGCAGTTACTTTCAGTGAAATTAATAAAACGCAGATATGAGAGAAGATGTCAGAGGAGATGGTTTGTATAATTCATGAAGCCGGAAACTGTCGCTCCGAAGTGTAGTTAAATTTTATGGGGTGCCTACACTGTATTTGAGGTGGAACTATAAACTGGCCTCGTTCCTACAAAAAAGCCTTCAATGTGTGATGCATATTTCTTTTATTATTTGTACATCCACTTGTTCATGTTATATATGTTAATTAAAAATCACTGTGAGATGCATAATTTTTTTTTTGACTGGTTTTATGTTGCATATTCTTCACATTCTGTACACCACTGTGTGTGATACTAATATTTATTTCAGAAGTCTATGTTTTCCATTGATTGCTGTAAAGCTGGTATTATTATTATTATTTTTATTTATTTATTTTTATTGCCATCTGTGAAGGATACTGTACTGTTTCTATCTGTTACAACTCTGTTGGGCTTTCATCAAGGATATAGACTACTGGCTTTCTGCTGCAACATATCAAAGTATGACCAAACACTGCGCAAAGGCAGAAACAAAACATGCACGACTAGCAGAAACCGTGGTTGTTCAGCAAGAAACATGTTGCAAATTACAGACATTTTCTTTCACATTGAATGCCTGACCATTAAGTCCAAATGCAAACATTGTGTGAAGAACATAAAAAACACTCTTGTCTCCATAGGCACCAGAGTGCTTCATATCCCAACCACAGCTCTACTAAGGTTACCTCGAATATCACTCATTTTAAATAATGTACTTTCAAAATTGTTTGTGCCATCTAATTAGAAGAAACTGCACAAAGTCTCATTCTAAGGCCTCCAATATATACATTTATAATTTTCCTTCTCTATTACAGCCTTATCACACTCATCTCTCTGCTGTGTACATAAAACATCAGTATATTTAATTTATACAGTAGGTCAGTGTCAGTGTGTTTGAATTGTGTTTACTTTTTATCATACCTTGTAGGTCTCAATTTCACTACTATGCTGGAAGTGAAGTGGGGAAACCAAAAGATGAACAAATCTGCTGTTCATTCCCTTCTTGTAAATGTTTTCAGCTATCAGCTTACTAGCAAAGTTCTTCCCTGTGCCGGACAATCTGTGCAAAGAGAGCACCAGGGGCTTCGGTGGGTTGTCGTTTCTCATGAATTCATTTACAGCTTTCAGGATGATGAGTGAGGCAATGTGCTGTCCAAACAGTTTCTTTTCCAGGTCAACCTGGAGACCTGGAGAGTGCACAGCAGAAAGTCAACAGGACTAGTGGCAGCAAACACCTGACTGAAGCATCTCCCTCAGGAAATTGTTTATCTTTATTTTGTGTCATTAGCCATTTCATTATTAGGTGACAGCTTAAACAACAGCCTCACTCATTAAATATATGAAATCAAATTTAATTTGTAGAGTAAAAGTGTTTTACAGGTGACTGATAGCCTAGCTGATATTAAAACAAAATTAGCATTATTGGAAGGCACACAAACCCAGAAATGAAAGTTCAAGATAATTACAGATTCTCAATTGTGAATTCCCAGCTCATTTCTGTTTTATGTCACAGCAAGCTGTCTCTGGGGAATGGGCTGCTGTTCAACAATAAATGAATTCATTAAAAACATAAACAGCATTTTAATCAACAATGAAAATAATCACTAACAATAAAACAGTGCACGAAGACTCTAAACCGTATCTCACTAAAGTCCTGGCCTGAAACGGGGTGGCAGGGTGCATGAAGGGGTCTGAAAGGTAATCAGTCAGTTAGGTTTCGTTTCGACGATTGACACATGATGGCACTTTCACTGTCGTATAAACTGAACGTTAAGGTAAACTATTTCCGTGACAGATATTTGTCCCTTTACATTTTTAGGCTACATGCTACACATTCTCACCTCTTTCATTGAAGGCTATGCATTCCTGCCCGCAACTTTCATATTCCGATAAAAAAAACGATCCTCAGCCCTATATATACTGACACTATACTGACACTTCCTACTAGTACTGGGATTAAAATATGATCACACGTTTTTACCAGCACACTGGCTGTCGAAAAAACGTATAAGAACAAATATAAGTGTGTCGCCTTCATGGTCCTGAGTTTTTATCTTGTAAAACAATCTTAACACAGTAAGACCTATCTGATTCAGCTGACAAATAGCTTCTTCATGGCAGTCGGTCTAACCTTTGACAAGGTGAAACCGGTCCTGCAACATTTTTCACGAGCTGTTCTCTATGCGTGCATATGTTTGCAAAAGTTGCCAAACAAGCAATCTCTGGAAGCAAGACTGGATTAGCCTACCTGCCGAACCCACATTTACTGTGTGGTTTTTAGTAAAATAATAAATTGTAACTTTGTTTGGGTCTATGTGGCTAAAGCACAATAAAGTGACACAATAAGGTGGGTGCTGATCAGGAAGATTTATAAACCTGATAAATTATAAATTGACTATGTTTTCAATTTCAACTAAATATGATCAAACTTTTTTCCTCAACTATTAAACTGACCTGCTTTTATGACTAATAGTATGGCACCTGAACATATTTTGCAGATGTGCAGATAGTCTCCAATGAACTTTTGGTTAGATTTCTAGCAAACATTACGTTCTGCATTAATAACACAACATGTTTACAATTTGTTTGCAATACAGATTGCTCTTAATAGGCATAGGCTTACATAGGTGACAATTTAAGTAAGGTTTGTAAACATTTAGCCTACTTATAAGCCTACTAAATCGTATTGAACTCTTTTTTTATTTATCACGCCTTAAAGTTCTTTACCAAAAATAAAACAAATAATAAAAAATGATGGAAGTAAAATCAACATACACATGACAAAACACCAGGTATTGCCTTGAAAACTATGAAGAGACTTGCTGATGTTAAAAAGATATATTCCTTTCCATGTTCACCATCATTGTCTAGCATGTAAGCATGCTAATATTTATCCAAGGAAGGTTAATGTCTAGGTAAACTGTAAATATCTTCCTTGACACCTCTTTCAAACCATCCATCTTCTCTGTCTAAATTGTCCACCTGGTGGCCGTACACATTGGACTGTACAGGAAACCCACACACACAGACCGATACCAACTTTTAGATTCCCACCACCCACTGGAGCACAAGCAAGGGGTCATCAGAACACTGCACCACCAAGCTGAGAACATACCACCCAGTGCACAAGCCCAAGAAAGGAACAGAAGCACCTGAAGGGGGCACTTACGGCCTGTGGATATCCTAAATGGACCTTTTTGAAAACAGCCACAAGATCCAGGATGATGTGGGATGAGGAAAAGAAGAGTAAACATAACAACATTGTCATTCCATACGTGTCTGGCGTATCAAAGAAACTCAGGAGGATTTTTAACAACCACCCCCTCCCTGTGTTTTTAAACCCAAGAACATGCTATACGGGTCCCCCCTAAAGACCGCACACCCAAACACAAGAAAAGCAATCTAGTGTATGCGATCCAATGCTGTTAGGAATGCACAGACCTGTATATTGGGGAAACTAAGCAACCACTACACAACACAGAAGTGCCAGTTCCTCAGGTCAAGACTAGGCATTTTACCTACATCTGAATGATAAAGACCACTAGATGCACATTTTGGACAGATAGGATGGGTGGTTTGAAATAGCAATCAAGGAAGCCATTTACACCCAGGTTGAGAAACCATCGCTTAACAGTGGAAGGGGTCTGCAACACTACTTATCACCCATTTACAATGCTGTCCTCTTCATCACTAGGAAACTAAACAAATGTTCACTTTTGGCCTCAGGTGGGAATGCCAATGATGACTGTGCCTTGTGTGGCTTGATGACCATAACAACTGTCGTTACAACATCCAGGAGCAGTAACAAACCATCTGTATCGATCATCTTGATAATATTGATATTTATCAATATAATGACCTGGATGACTGATAACCTTCACAGACATGCTAACGTTTGATTATTAGCACAAACAGTACAGCTGAGGCTGATGCAAATAGTTTTTAACATTTTCTTTTATAAACCAAAGTGTTTTCATATTTTTACCTGATGATGGCACTAAAGAAAAAGTCAGGGGATCACTAAAGTTATTACAATTCATCTGAATGATCACCAAGGTTTTTGACTTTTGCTTGTGCCGGTAAGATCTTGGTCTCAAGATGTAACATTTAAAAAATTTGTTTTACAGATGTCCTAAAGTAATAATAAGATATGTAAATTAAATATTTTCACTTGTATTTAAAAGTCTAAACCATACAGGTAGTTTGGGTGGCTTAAATAACGCAGGAAGCTGCTACCATAGGAAAAGCAGCTGCAATAATAAAAGCACCTTCCCTCTCTTAACCCCGTCTTTGTCCATTTCCATCTTTGGACTTATCAGGATTGTAGCACCCGCATTTATGCCATCCTTCTCAAACAACATCCTGAAAGCCATGCAAACCTCTGGATCAGTTTTGGAGGAGTTATGCACCAAAAGTGCCAATGTTGAGTCCACTTTACATTGGCTGGTTTGATAGATAAATAGATACTTTATTGATCCTTCGCAGGAAATAAGATTTGTTACAGCAGCAGCAACCAGATTCAATCCTCGCACACAGGCAACAGCGATCTATACTCAATTAATCAAGTAAAACTTAAACAAATAGACAAATAAATAAAAAAGTAAAACAAAAGCTAAAATATACTATACTGGAGAAAACAAACAAACATGGAAAACATATCTAATCACATTGAAGTAATGTTGAGTGTGTGATTTTATTGATGATTAATGCCTTCTCTTTAGCCAGCGTTATAATTTTGGGTAAGTACACATGCATGAAAGTGGTACATACATATCAAACTCTTTACAACCCACTGAACCAGAGGTTTTAATGTAGCAAAGGGGAATGTTGTATTTGACAATTCTAATTCATTCAGGCTCTGGACAAATACTACTCTTGCCCTATATTTGGGGAGTTTGTCTTCATAGAGAACTTGGGCTAGGAACTGCTGCTGCTGTGGCCTTTAAAGCCCATTGAGACAATGTATGCGATATTTGGGTTATGAATAATGTAACCTTGACATGACTTGACTCAGTGTATTTGAAATGGCAGACTCAAACATTTCTGTTATTTTGACAATATGAGGTAATGCCCTCTTTTTGCTTTGTGTCATAAGGACATCCTCTCGAGGAAACCTTTTGCTCCATGTTCATGTTTTTATTCTCTGGATCAGGCTTGCTTATAATAAGAAAGCGTAGTTTATAGATACCAAATGTTTCCTCCTGTACTTCATCCTCTTTGCAGCCTCTGTAGCCCCTGGCCCTGGGCTTTGGCACACTTTGAGGACAGGATATGGATTTGATTGGTGTAACCGAGAACCGGTTTGAAGCTGATCTTGCAGCGGGATATGTAGTAAATGGACAAAATAAAAATGCGTATAAAGAGATAGAGAGGTAAAAGAGAGCAGCACTGTTGTGGAAAACATTTTAACATTAAAATGACCAATTATCGGCTGTAAAGAGAAGTTAGTGCTACTTTAATTCCCATTTTTTATCTCCTTCCACAGCAGTCGGACTCCCAGCCTCTGTGGCACGAAACTCCTGATCAGGATGTTGGCCATAAATCTGCCCACACAGACTGTCTCATGAGGTACAAGGCAAACAAAGGACCTTCGTTTTCTGCTGCTGCTGCTGCTGCTGCTGCTGCTGCTGCTGGTGTTTTTCCTTCCTCTCCTCCAGCCTGTCATTGAGGCGACGTGTCCTTCCTGGTCTGGAGAGGGTCAGATCCTTATGTTCCAGGATCAGGGCTCTTCCTCGAGTTCCTCAGGGTGGCTCGTCAGGGAGGGGAAAAGGCACAGCAAGGGGGCCGTGACTCCTGATGAAGCCCAGACTCCCTCATGGGCCGAGATAAGTCTGAGGGAAAGGAGGGGTTTAAGCTTCCTTTGATAATGCTGTGAAAGCTGTGGTGAAATACTTGAAAGCAGCCCTATACCTGTTCTGCTTGAAGCATTTTCCTGTGTTATCTGTAAGCATCTGCACAAGCACTTTGGAAAAAAGTACCCAGATTTTATGCACTGTTCCTTTCATGATTTTACAGTAGGTGCGGTATAGCTGCACAGTATTAAACTATTAAAAGTAATTCACAAACAAATTAAAATCAACCTGATGGCCCTAGATGAGAAGTTAATGGATCATCCAAATTACTACAATTAATCCTGAGGGACATGAACATCAACCTCATGGTGGCACCAGAGGAAACATCAGAGGATCACAAGTAATCGCAAGTAATCCGGAT